AAATAAAAATTATTGTCATTGTGGTTGCAATGCTATAAAGTAATTGACAAAGTGCAATTTTATTGATTTTGTGATGAAATTATTTTGATTTTGTTGTTCTTTTTGTCTTATTTAAAAAATTGAATATTCTATAAAGCTTAAAAGTTATAAATAGTTATACTAGACAGATAGCAGGCTTTCATTGTAATTGGCTGATTTTTGTAGATCAGCCCAAGAAATTGCAAAAATATCATTGGTTAATCGCAAAACAAATTTATATGAAACTATATCTGATATAATTATTTACATTAATAAACACATTACTACGAAATCTATCAATGACATTAATAAATACATTACTATAAAATCTATCAACGGTATTAATAAACACATTACTACGAAATCTATCAACAGCATTAATAAACGTATTACTACGAAATCTATCAACAGTATTAATAAACGTATTACTATGAAATCTATCAACTTAAAGTCTAATACAACCAATTTTCGTAGACATGCACTTAGCGTATCGATACCTTAAGCATTGGATGTTTTTAATTCAATCCTAGAGTCTGAAATAATTTTACAAAACTGATTAAACAAAACAATCTATTTCAAAAAGCTTTGTTCGATTATTTTTATCGTAAATGAACTTGTTCAAATAAGAAGATAAGGAGATAATTAATTAACTAAATTTATGCTATCTTAGCCACAGTTATTTGTATTACCTATTTTATATTGTAACTTTAAATACTGTATAACATATAGTACTATTCTATAATAAAGTTAATAATTAATATATAATTAATATCTAATATCGATTGATAAATGCAGATCTGTTACTCAATTGTATACGATCCAAAAATATATAAAGTATATTATTCGATTTTTTTGTGATTTAAAAATATTGTAAATGACAGTTCAAGAGAAATTAACACCATATATTGTTTGCAATATTAAATTTGCAAGAAAAATTTTTGTGAAATGGGTTACTTGCCAAAACATTCTTATTGTTATATTAATTGCTGAGTTTATAATATGTTTAATAATCTTGTAGTAAGTATATTTTGGCTTTCTCCAGCTGGTATATAGAAGTTCAAACTAATTTTTATTGAATTTTTATAGGATCAATAAGTTGAAGCATTCATATTATATACTGATCCTTATGAGCCAATTGTGCATAAAACTTTTGGAGTTGACCAATCTAATTGGAATATAATAGTATGACTAAAAGATTTGTTTGCTAAAATAATGACTGGAAGTGTGGGTTCAGATATTCAGATCATAATGGGTTTGCACCGTATTAAATAGTTTCAATATATTGAATTTAGATTAGTTTTCTTGTTAATAGAATTTATGGTATTCATCCTGTATTTATTTTTTGTAAAGTAGATGTTAAATTCATAACTTTATTTAATTATTT